GTGAAGGACAGGAAGGCCTGGCGCAATATGGTTCATGGGGTCACGAAGAGTCGGACACGACTTAACGACTAAACAACAACTGCTCTTTTGGGATCCACTTTCGATGTAATGAGATCTTGGACTTCCTCTTCTCACAAAGACATCTGGACAGCCACATATTTCTCCCCCTCCTTTCTTGTATAAAACACAGTTGGGTCCTGAGATCATTAGCCACGAGCATCCAAAAAGGAGGGGAAGAGCAGACAAAGGCTGAAACATGTATCAAAATGCAAATGTGTTGGGGGGACCCTGCACTGTGACATCATGACACACATCCCATCAATTTGACAAAATTTTGGCTTGCTGAGAATGCTCTTGGTATTTTATAATAATATGTCTCTTACTGGCTTTCAAACATTGTGATAAAACACCGTTCCTCATCTTCAGCTTCACCTTTACAAGGTTTTCCTCCATTCATGGGTTCAGGATTGTTACACAGCCGAGTTCTTTGCCTCTTAAAAGATGCATCACAAGCGCTCCATGCTGACCAGCAACTCCAGTAGCCATCTACTGCAACTGGAGTCCAAAACAACATGACACTTTTGTTGCCTTATCCATACAGCTTAGATATTAGCAGAAGGCTCTACCCATATTCCAGCTTTCCCCATCTTGATGCCCCAGTTTCTTGAATCTCAACTGCCACAATTCCCAGCCTGCATCAGCAATTTGGATTGCAATACCTTTGTGATGGAATTCTAACTCAGCTATCAGTATGGTGTCATTGTGCCTCATGCAAAGACTATTTTTTAATCTTCAAAGGCATTCCATCTGCTTTTAACTTAACTACTGTTATACCGTGTCTGAGTTGCTGCTTCGTTTTTTTAAAAATGTAGTTTTATATTGACTTTTAAATTTTGTGATAAGGGCTTTTTTTTTTTTTTTAGTTTTCGGAAAAATTAAAATATTTCCTTTTTTTTTTTTTTAAAAATGTAGTTTTATATTGACTTTTAAATTTTGTGATAAGGGCTTTTTTTTTCTTTTTAGTTTTCGGAAAAATTAAAATATTTCCTTTTTTTTTTTTTTAAAAATGTAGTTTTATATTGACTTTTAAATTTTGTGATAAGGGCTTTTTTTTTTTTTTTAGTTTTCGGAAAAATTAATATATTTCCTTTTTTTTTTTTTTACAGATTTTTTTCCTTATTTTGAGAAAGAAAAAGATGGAAAAGGTTTTTGAAAACACCCAGTCAAATTCAGAAATCAAGTGTGTGTTCTAAAATTCATGGAAGTACTTAGTTGCCTTAAAACATTTCTATGCAGGGACCTAAAGGACAGCTAAGTTATTAGAGTAAAAGTAAAGCTCCCTAGAAGTTGACCTTGATTCCCAATGATTCCATGTATGGACTCATGTAGTTTTGTTTACAACAGTAAATAAATGGTTTGCAATTGCCTCTTTCTGGGATCTTTTTCAACTTCCTAGGATAAGCTACAGCTCTGGTATTTCCTGATGATCTTTCAACCAGGTGTTGATCAGGTCCTTAGTTTTTAGCTTTTTTAAGATCATCCAAGGTTAGTAAAGTGCTGCCACTTGTGCTGAACTAAATTATTAAAATAGGATATGTTAATAAATAATAGCCTAAAGCCCCATTGATTTCAGTGTGTCTACTCTAGATGTGACTAATCTTGGTTCTAATGCAACAGTTATGCTAAAGCAGGCAATCCACACCCAGGCAATCCACAGGCAGTCCCTAGTACCCCATTTGCAGCCTCTTAGTACCCAGGAATTACGCTACTAAAGTTTGATGATTTTGCTACATAACCTCAATTTGGGATGTTTTGAGAATCTGGTTACCTAAAGTTAATATGGGAACAATATATATTCCAGAGGCCTCTGATCCCATTCCTACCCTCAAAAACGTTTTACAAAAAGTAAAGTCCCCAAGGTTTGTGCAATGATGTTATTGTCCCACTAGAAATCCTCTGTTATATCAGAAGGCTGAATTGAAGCCCTGATCCCTCAGAGATTGCCCACCCATGAATTACAACTATGGTGTCTTTTGAACATGGAAATGGATTCCTATGCATTTTCTCAATGATTGTGAAACTGCTATATAAGATATAATAACATTCTATATCCTATATTAACACATAATATTTCACCCATATTTTTACTTGGCAGGTTAAATGTAGGGTAGACAATGGTTTTGCTAATTTTAGTTTTTGCCTGAAATTATATTGAACCTTAAGACTTTCTAGCTCTTTTAGCTACCTTATTTATAGTGTAGCAAAAACGGAAACTTCAGCGCAAGGCACCATTATTTTTGTGCAAACCTTGTACCTTCTTGTGCAATTGTATGGTAAAATAAGATGGAGCTGTTATAAAAATACCTGATGTGTAGTCGGGTACTCGCAGTTCACAGTTACTTCCGTATGTTCCAGACTTACACACACAGAGGCATCCGGTATCAGATAAAACTGCTTGAGCATTATTGGGACATGGGGCACAATGACAGGGATCATATTTGCTCATATATTCAGAAAAAGCCCTCCTGAGATTAAAACGTTTCGTTGCAGAGCATGGGAAGTTCTGCACCAAATCCACAATGGGAGTAACCTAAGAAAGAATTATATTCAATTTTTCAAAAGTTGTCCCAGCAGACTTCTTAAACCAAGGAAACATCAGTTTGGGCCTTCTACATGGGAATTATTGTTGTCTTCTGCAGGCTCAAAATCATGATATTGGGAGAGGCATGCAGTCCTGTTGTTAGTTATTAGCCACCTCCACAGATAAAATTAAAGGGGATATCACAAGATCTGACTGCTTTAAATAATGGAGCATTCATTCAAAATATGCAACACCATCTTTTCTTTTCTCCTGGACATGACATGGGAACTTTGACCTTCACAGTAAGGAAGTTCTGTTTTCCTCTTGTCTTTTATCTCTTACCTCAAAGTCAATCACAACTGGATTGTTCTTGGCTGATTCCAACCAATTAGTAAAGATCTCATTTCCTGGCAAGGAGCCTTTTCTCTGCCAGGCTAGAGCTGCAGCATACCGTGACTGCCCGCCCTTAACCAGGGAAATAGACTGTTCAGATGACTTTAACATGGAACCTAAAATGGATGGGTTATACAGTAGAGTTACATATTTAACCACATGGATCTTTATTAGGAGTCACCAAAGTCTGGGGAATGGGAAGAACCTAAAATATAGGACCTTTTAATGTAGTAAAATAAGTGCCTTAAATTTCTAAGGGTAATTAGGTTAAATAAATAAGGGTAAAATAAGTGCCTTAAATTTCTGGAATACATGTTGATTGATTGATTGATTGATTGATTATGTGCTATCATGTTGTTTTTGACTCCTATAGATAGACCGGAACCCATAGTATCCCTGTAAAATTAGAAAGTTAAGCTATTTTTTCCTATTTGGAGAAGGAGGTTAAAGTCAAAGGCAACAATTTCATCCCTCAAACCATCCCAATTCTGACATTTATAGCCTTGTCCATTCAGGTGATACCACAATTTCATTAGTCGCACACTCCGTAGCCTCCAGCTAGGACAAAAAGAGAGAGTGTGCTTTCAGGCCAAAAAAGACTGCTTACCATAATGCAGCACAATTTATCAGGTGATGATGTGGTCTTGAACTTCAGCTTTTAGCAAAAAGCTTTTAATGCTCTATTTCTAATTCTACCAGCCCTTTCATCAAACCCAGTAGATTAGGTTACATAGGGCAAGAGTACATAGGGCAAGAGTATCAGCTGACCTTGTCAATCACTGTACAGCCGTCTTCTCTAACTTAGCTTCTTCCAGATATGTTGGGACTGCAATTTCCAGTATTCCCAGCCTGTATGACTATGCTAACAAAGAATAATGGAAGCTGCAGCTCCAACACTATTAGAGGACAACACTTTAGGGCAGATTAATATGATGCCCTAGGCTCTATAAAAATCCACCCAACTGTACAATTTATAAGGTGGTACACAATGACAAAGCCTGCCTTGTTTGTCTTCTCTTGTCTTATCTGCTGAACTCAATGCCTGCCTCCACCTTCTGGCTCATGATTTCTGTTGCTTGATTCAGGACCTGTCCTTCAATCCATCGGGACCATAACTTTTGCCTGTAGCCCACCCAATCATCAAAATCATCATTCTTACACCTGACTCAGACTCCACTTGGCCCATGGCATAGCATACTTTAGTTCATAGTCCTTCCAGAACTGTAAAACTGGGACAGTAAGAAAGTTCAGCTAGATCTAAGAAATAACAAGAAAAGTATGAAGGAGCCCTGAAAAATGTTGTTTACCTTCATAGCGTTCTGTCATCCTATTTTTGCTGCAATACTCATGATGTTCTGTTGACTTAAAGAAGAAAACATAGTTCTGTGTCTCTGTTCGCACACAATTTTCCATTTGTTCTGTTGTTAAACCTAGGTATAATTCAATAGTAAAAATAGAAAATTAAATTTCTCAAATAAAACTCAATTATCCAAGTGGTTAAGCATTATAGCACCCAATCTTTAAAAATGACATTGGCTGGCTACAATTTTTTCAAGCCACAAGATACAGAGGGGTGTCTGTGGAAGGGAGGGGGTAAAAAAAGTCAACAGGCATCTATGACTATATATTTGAAGCTCTGCCTCAATTTTATGTGTATTGGGGTAAGGCTTTGATTGCATCATTGTGGCCACCATCTTGACTTTTTCGAGTCTCTTGCGGAAATGCCTGAAAATATTTTTTTGGATTTTTTTTTTTTTAGTTTGAATGATTTTTAAAAGGTTTCTTTCATTTGTACACTAAAATTCTAGGTGATCTTGTATCTCGAGGGTTCCTGCCCCTTTTCCCACCCTTCAATAGCCACACGAACATATTAAATTGAAAATTTTGATTTAGTTTCCTTAAACAGGCTTGGGAAAGGCAAAGTCTGGGAACCTTTTTTCATTATAGCTCTGAATTTCATTAACAAGGTGAAGAATCCAAGTTCAGCACAACAAAATATCCTGAACTAAAACAAATGCAATAACAAGTCAGAACGGATCGGGTTGAACCCAATAGCATTATGTTTGGCTGAAAAGAAGAATTTAAAATAGTAGGGTCGTGTTAGGTTCACTGAAAATATGTTAATAGAAGTAAATCTTTTCTTTCTAATCTTTCTGGTCTTCCTTTTGAAGAGCCATATTCCTTTTAGGTAAAATATAGTAGCCTCCTGAATAGACTGCTGCTCAAAATGCTCACATGATAGAAAATAAAGGAAGTGATTTTTGATGATTTCTTATCCTTCCTACAGTCCCAATGGCTACCTCCGCCATTGTTCTGGAAGGAGGAGCTTTCAAAAGGCATCAGGGGCTGCAGAGTTCAATAGGAATCATGTAAATCTTCTCTTATTATGGCAACTCTATTAGAACAAACGTCTGGCTTTTACAGAGAGGCTCCTTCCTTTCTCTGCACTCCCTGGACTGAGCATGTGACCGCAGGGCATTCCAGGAAGCATTTAGAAAGTAAATGTAATCCCCATCCACCTCCACCACAGATTTTATTCAGGGAAAGGACACTCTTCCTTCCTCCTATGATTCATCCAAGAGGATCCATGGAAGACTTATATTAAATTGTTACCCGACATCCCATATTTGACAAGACTATCATGGAGAAACTCCTACGGAGGGCATTTAATTACTTATTCTCAGGAATTGGTAGTAACTAACTGTCAGGTAATATGTAGATTTCTTTATTTCCTCTTGGCTTACTTGTTTTTGCTCATCGGATTAGTTTATCCCTGAACCTGCCTGCTTAAGTTTTGATTTCTAAGCAAATCACTGGGAACAAAGATAAATACTTTATATCCTCAGTGTCTCAACATGCAGACCCACATACCTGAATTTTTTGTTTCTTCCTCACTAAACTGGTAAAGGAGGTCATATTTGGCTCCTAATAAACCAGCTGTGTAATAATGTGTCCCGAAATCATCAAAAATCCGGCTGTATAGGGCATAGTTGTACTCCAGAGGTAGGCTGTTGAGTGACTTTAAGAACACCCCAGAGAGCTGCAGATCTTGCTCCTTCACTGTGAAGTTTGAAACTGCAATCACCTTATGGATCCTGATATAATTGGAAGTCTTAGAAAACACAACAAAATAGGTACGGAATGTTATTGTCTTTCATGCTTTCTTTTTCTCAATAATCTTTGTGTGTTTTTAATCCTTGTACGCAACCCAGAGTCACCTGTGTGAGATGGGTGGGCATATAAGTTATATAAATAAATAAATAGACTCCATTTTAGCAGCTGCTAAAGAGGTTGTTTCTTCTATGGCCTGGACATCTTTCAAGACCCTCAACTGAGAAGAGGCCCACCACTGATCCCTTTCTGTTCACTTCCCTTCTCTCTTCCTGTTCCATTTTAAGTAATGATGCAGATTGGCTCCAAGAGAAAGCAAACAGACAGTAGTGCTCCAGGCAAGGAGTTTCCCAAAACCTAGAGTCAACAGTGAAGCCTGCATTCTCCTCTGTTTCTCCCCTAATTTCTGTTTTGTGGACAGGTGTAAGCAGTGGAACTGGTGGCAGTGGGTAATATGAGAAAAACTGAGGATGGGATCAAGGGATGGGATTTGCAGATTTCTGTTAGCCATTCCCCAGCAGAATTCAAGCTCTGTGTCCAAGATATAAGAGAAAGGTGAAGAAGAAAGCTATGACTTGCCAAATGTTGCTGAACCACAGCTTCAAACAAACCAAATAAACATGGCTGATGCTGAGAGTTGTAACTAAACAAATTGAGAAGCCTGAATAATTGGTGATGGATACACCATTGGAAGACCTGAAAGACAAGGTTAGGGATAGATTGTCATGGAGAAAGTCTATCTATGTGGTCTCTTGGAGTCAAAAATGTTTTGATGGCATGCAATCAATCAAACAAAAATAATTGGCTATTGTAAGTAATTTCACAATAGGAAGGACCATGTTGTACACACCTTCATTAAATGGATCTTCTATTTTGAGCAAAATAATGAAATTTGTGTACAAACTGTCTCTCCCAACCTCTCTCTTTGAGGAAACTTCCACTGGTGCTGGCTACATCTTTTAAAAAGATAGAGCAAGAAACAGACCAGACTAAAAGAAGAATATAACTTAGCTCTGAGCAGAATTCAGATTTCAACTGAATCAGGTGAAACTGCAACATGGAACTAGGTCAACATAAAGAGGTCTTTGCTGAAAGAAGTAGAGGAAATTGTCAAAACGCTGGTGTAGAATGCTCATTCTAATTCTCTTCCAGGCAATGGTGCCTGTCAAGGTGGTGGCGGTGGGGCATTTCAAGATGGTGGATGGAGCATTGCACTCCTTCTGTATGCATCTATTGCAATGCTCTGTCTGCCATCCTGCCAATTTTGACACACGCCCCCAGACCACTACTTCCAGGTGATTATAGCAAAACAACATAGTAGCAGTAAAAGGCTATAATGCAGAAGGAGTTTACTTCCAAGGATACAGATTCTTACCATTTTTTGGGATGCTTTAATGGCTTGCTTGAACTCATAAGATGATGTGGATGTTGTGGTTGATATTGACCCCCAAAAATAGGGGATTCCAGAAGTACGTCTCCCAACATTCTTAGAAGCTGAGGTTTTAATAGCAGAACGGGCCAAGGGGGTTAAGCTGGTGTAGAACCTTGTAATCACATCATCTTCTTGGCTTTTCACCTGTCAACCGAGATATGTTTAATTACAGATGTTTTGGAAGGAAATTAAAAGGCATTGAAAATAAAAAATATAGTTTTTTTTAAATCACTGTTTGAAAATAAAATAATATTTTTAAATATATAGGGGTGGGTGTGTTAAAAATATTATTACGTGTGTGTGTGTGTGTGTGTGTGTATAGGCCAACAGTTTCATTTATGAAAGCTAGGATAGGATAAGACTTAGAAATTGGGCCATTCTCTATTTTGTATTCTATTCTCTATTCTCAAGTCCATGCATTAGGAAACCCCACTGAGATCCCATTTGCCCCAGCAATGAACATGTTTGAAGGCATTGAGTGTCCAAGGTGGGGACAAGGGGTGGGGAGGCTGCAAACAACAAAGCATGTGTTGCAAAGTTGTGTTCCAAACCCTGTCTCATTTCTACATGTGTCACAACATTGCAAGTAATATGTAGGAGTGACGTTTGAGTCATGAAGTAGATAAGGAGTGGTGTTTGTGCCATTCTGACAAAACTGTGACTTGGTCCTGATGCCTCTGGGCCTTGGGCTGTCTATTTTCTCTGGCCCTCAGTCTCTTCATCAGAAGATTGAGATACTAGTGATATTCCCATCAGCTTAGTTTCATTAAGCACCTGACTGATCTGCTCAATGTTAATTTTCTTTTCTTTTTTACTGCTTTAATACAACAGAAAAGATCACCCACCCTTTGGAATATCATTCCCCCGAGGTCAGACTGGCCCCCACCCACCTGGCCTTTCAGAAGGCTCTTAAGACACAGTTTTGTCATCATGCCTGGGGTTCCAGTGGTGGTATGGAGCCTTTCAGTTGGTTATATTGTTAAGTTTTAAACTGCTTTACTTGTTTTTAATGCTTTTAGTTGTTTATTTGCATATTTATTGTTTTTAATTGTGTGAGACACCGAGAGTCACATATGTGAGATGGGTGGCTATATAAATTGAATAAATAAATTTAAAAAATTAGAATAGAACATTTAAAATGCTGGGAGAAAAGAAAGGGAAGAAAGCAATAACTAAATGAAACAACAAAAAACCCACAGAAATAATAATACTAAGGAGATGGACAGGGACTTCCGGTGAGGACATGGTGAGCTAGACATCCCTGAAGGGGATGACATTATAGTGGAGATCGGTGGCCAGAGGGTAGATTCTGGCCAGCAAAATCTCTCTGGAGAAAAGTGAGATCATGAGATTGCCCACATGTACTCCAGATAGCTGCTCCTCATGAGTAGACTATAGGAACCGAAGTTTTTGCAGTCAGCTAGTAAGCTGAGTGGCTGGGAATCAAGGCATTTCAACAAAGTTCATAGTTGTAATGTAGCCTATATGGACATAAAGTTTGGCCAAGCCTCATTTATTAATCACTTTTGGAATTACTTTTTTACTGCTTTTCAAATATTAAGAACCTTCGGAATGGCACATTTTATGGCATTTACTGGGTGAGTTTCCTTCAATCTTTAATGAAAAGTTTTAAGTATGAGTTTAAGGACTTAGAAAAATTCTTTTTTGGGCAATAAATAGCAAAAGGGTGATTAGAGTGTTGTTTTCTGAAAGTTATAAATGAACTACGGGTCCAGAAGGATTTGAAATAAGATTTTGAAATTAATTAAAAGAATCCTTCCCATGGGAAATGGTTGTTGTTTTGAACTAAAAAAAAAATGATAGGATGGGACTTTGAAGGTTGATCACTAGGGGGAACCAGAAGTAATTAAAGATTACAATTAAAGGAGAAGAACAGGTTAAGGCACCAGACTAGAAACCAGGAGACTGTGAGTTCTAGTCCCGCCTTAGGCATGAAAGCTGGCTGAGTGACTTTGGGCCAGTCATTCTCTCTCAGCCCAACTCACCTCACAGGGTTGTTGTGGGGAAAATAGGAGGAGGAAGGAGTATTAGATATTTTCACTTTTATTATTATAA